AAGTAGCTTGGGTAATTATTTTGGTATAACAAAAATCAAAATAACGTGTTACTTTAACTTCAAATATAATATTCTGAATTTGTGTATAGTAAGTAATTAATTATATATAAAAAACGCCGTAACACGTTCGTAGACGGTAAGAACGTTCGCGCACTACGTTTGGTTCGTATCAATTCCAAAACCGAGAATTGATGGTCCGAAATGTCACGGATCATTTTATCACTTGGTGTACGAGCGATATTCGGTTTTCTCGGGTTCGAGTCGGAATTATTGCACAAGCGACATCCCAAGTGGGTCCGAGTTTTCCAGAATTGTGTAGTCTCGGATTCAGAAAGAATTCGGATCGGATACACGCGCAAACGTGCTAATGGAGTTTACAGTAAAATTAAACAGAATTTGACAGTACAATTGGTAGGTCAATGTACAGGCTACCCTGTATCGCTATATGGGTCTCAAAAAACCAACCACGGGCTTTATAATGCGAGAAGCGGTAGGTCTAACCTTTAGGCCACACCGGCTTTTTAATTAATCAAATGTTCAAATGTAAATACATGTACGGTAAACCAAATAAACCGCTTAAGTAAACCGGTAAGCTGCTCATTGTGTAGCCTTTATTCATGTCAGAGAAAAATAGCAAGTAGAATGAACACTAACTGTAAAGATGCCAATCCGCATTACAAATCAGCGGAGAACAAACACAATGATCCAATATAAATACCATAAAATTAACCGTTTTCGCTCAGGCGCGCCCGCTAGTTGTGAACATTTCAATTTCACTTTTTATAAAAATTGAAGCGAAACGACTGAAGATGACAAAGAACCTGTAATAAGTATAAAAAAAATAAGAACAATTGGAAGACTATCACTGGTGAAAATATAAATACTTAGTACCTTTATTGATATAATAGAGTCATACGTGATCATAGGTCAAAAGTTTTGTAAGCGCGCCTGGCACCACACATAATATCTTTATACTACACTTACTTAGTGTTAGTACTTGTAATATGTGAATACTTTGTGTTTTCGTTTAATTTTATTTTGTTGTTACGTTTTATTTGATTTGTGTTTTTGTTTTACGTTTGAACGTTTATGTTTTGTTTTTCTTCTATTTCGCTTCTTTTCTTTTGTGGTATCAGTTGTAGTAAATAAATGTATTTATATATATAATTCTTTCTAAAAGTGATTTTATATTTCTCATTTGGAAAGTCATACAAAATAAAACGGAATACACAACAAATTATATATAAGTGAAACTTTATAAATCTAAAAAATATCGACTAAATTTGTTCCTTTCTAAAAATCTTTAAAACATCTCTCCGGAAAAGTTGTCATGTGGCAGATGTTACTTCAATAATAATAATAATAAACATTTATTTCAGATATAACAAATCCATAAAATGATAAACTTTAAAAGGGTGCCTGGAAAAAGATTTTTCACGGCGCATACCGGTAACAGTTTGGCACAGTAAAGCAGTGCCTGTACCTGGCTAATCGTTTCAGCACGATGCTTCATCCGAATTATGACCAACAGCCCCTTCCAGAACCTTCACACCTAATACCAGCTCTGAAGGTTATCTCAATTAACACGGGGGAAGCTCTCTACTTTACTCGCGATCACTAAGGTGGCAACATACTATTCAAAGTCAATATAATCCTAAAATAAAAGAACCACAGACACGATGAGAAGAAAATGTTGACAAAACTTAGAATTGGTAATGAAATGACTTATGACAGATTATTTTATATACACTGTATTATATACAATTACTTATCACTGAGATCTAATGCCGCAGTAAGGACGAGTCGCCACTACTGCTACTTGCACCAAGTGTAGCAAATTGTTTTCGAAAGATTACAAAAGCCTTGAATTTTAGACATTTGCAGAACTCTACAGATTATAACATAACCAATAATGTGTCTAAAGAAATTTCCGGCAATTTTTTTCACCTAAAATTTCTAATCAACATTTAATTAAAGACTAAGATCGACAAATTAGCTGATTAGTAGTATACGGCGTTAAGTAGTGCATGTGGCAGTACCACGCGGAAACAGCGTTGCGTACCAGCGAGCACCGCGGTCGAGCTGTGCGTGGGCAATTTATACATCATATGTCTACTTTGTAAACGCAAAAGCCGACGGTTGGACTGCCACCCGTTATGGAAATTAACACTGTTCGCTGGGTTTTATAGACTGTGAAAGGTTAAGTGGTAGTGAAGATAGGACACTAAAGAACTAATAGTTATGGTTCGATAATTTTCATATTTGCTTTTTGGAACCTTAATGGTGCCTTAAATTTTTATTTTATATTTTTTTTCCCTATAATATTACTTTAAATGATACTAAGAAGTATATAATTATTCTGTATTTGGATGCTATTTTCACATAGCATCTAGATACAAAATAATCTTGTTTTTTTTAGAAATAAGAAAGGTGGCAGTGCTTACCCGAACGAATTCTTTCACAAGGGACTGTATTGCTACTAAATGTCATATAAAATGATATTGTATACAGAAATAAATGTGACTTACACCACTATTGCACTGATAACCGCAATTGTATGTTATGCTTGAAGATTACTGAAGATTTAGGAAGCAATTTTATGCCGTGTTACTATTTACCAATTTTACATAGTACAGAAGACAATGTACCGAGAACACGTAAAAACACTTTTATATTTTATTGTTACGATGACATGGCTTGTAACTAAATTTACGAATTGATTGATGATTATCCAAAGAAACATAACCGTTTAGAATGGCTGATTAATTCATAGACAACGACAAGTGATTAGTCCAATGAGTGATCAAGTTATTAGAGCATTGAACTGTAACAGTGCAATTATAATTCCTCGAACCGTTGTTGTAATAAGTAACCATATAGTCTAAGCGGTGTTTTAGGAGAAATCGGTGAAGGCGTTGACTTCTTGATCATTTATTTTGTTATTTTTTTTTATGAAACAAATTTAGTCAGCATCCTTTATTGGGCAACATACATAACATTCACACCTACGGTGTAACTCCAACTCAATACAATAGAATGGTTAATAATCTTACCAATGAAATTTATACACAAATGTAGTGAGGCAGAGACATTACTTAATTTTTCCATGGAGGTAGAGCTAGTTATAGTTTAAGATGTGTCATTTACGAGCTCTTCAAATGTATTCAGTAGCGCTAAAGCCAAAAACATAAAACTTTCATATTCTGTAACATAAATTTTTGCAAATCTAACATGTCACTTTTTCACCGGAGGTGTGTATTATGTGTATTAACACTTAAACATTAATTTACTATTTTTATACTTAAATTACTGTTTTGTGTTTTCACTGTAATTTTATGTGCAATAAAAAATATTTCATTTATTCTTCTATAATAATTAATTATAAGCATAAATGAAATATTCTTTATGTTATAAGTAATTTAAGTATAAAAATAGTAAAATTTCACAGATTTGTCATAGATGGCGCTACGGCTAAAAAGTCGTTGAAAAACCAAATACAAACGTCCAACAACAAGCACATACAAAAATTCGTGAGGTCCGCTGGTTCGTTCCGTGACTTAGTTGGTATAGCGTCTGCCACGTTTTGCTAGAAGACGTCGGTTCGAATCCGGCCGTTCGAATCTTTGTATTAATAATTATAACAAACTAGTGGAGTAATTCTACAAAAAACAATTGAATACCTATTCAACACAAATTTAAATTTAAGTCAATTAATGTGCAACAGGCGGCCTTATTGCTACGTGGGAATTTCTTCCAAACAAGGAATTTAGTATATGCAGAAAGGGTGCAAGCAAAGAATATCATCATAAGTACACTACACACTAAATATTTATTAAAACGTACACGTAGACATATATACATATAAATAATATTAATACATAACAATAAATAAATAATAAATTAAATTCTATATACTTTTATTATATTATAATCGTATTAGTAACGTAGTAGTACTAGTAGTAAGTAAAGTAAACTTAGATAAAGATGTACGGAAAGACAACGATTCAACACAAATATGATTCAAAATGTATTCTACAGTATTTAAGTTTATTTGAAAAGAGTAATCCCTAGAGTTTCTTGCTTGTTCTTCTCAGGGAGGTCAGTGCAGTGAACGAGCAGTAGCTTAAGAAATGGCGTTTTCAAGTGTAAAAATTTTATCTATGGAATAAATGATTATTCCACTTTGACTGGCTATGCAAAAAGTTAAACATGTTTCGGTATTTAAAATTGTTATTATTATAACGTCAGCCGTGTGACATAAAAGATATTCCGTCTATGTTTCAGTTTCAACTGAAGAAGTAATAAATTGCTGCAACCATAATAATACAAAAACCTATTATTATACAACATTCACCGCTTAAATAGAGTAGGGCTAAAATAAACCGATGAAACGAAGTCCCTGGGGCAGGGCGTTAAAAATGATAATACAGTTCGCCTTTTGTATGACATTGCTAGCATATTGGGCAAGGTCAGACTAGGCCATGCCAGCACGTTGGGTTTATCATTTTACGAAATTTATTTTTGTAATTTTATGAAAAGATTCAGATTTGAAGATCGGACGCTGGGCCATTAGCTCCTTATATTTTTTAACTGCATTTCGTAAATGCAGTTAATAAATATTTACCTATTCATGCTAATAAAGCAATAGTTACGAGAACACGAACAGAAATTTATCTTATTTTATAACACTTTCTCCGAGATCCGTATAATAAAGACGTCAACAAAATAACTAACCGTAAACAGCTGTTATACACTAACGAAGTGCCTAAATGTGAACAGGTTTTAGTCGTTTACCTTGTTTATGTGCTTTATCATGTTGCATCGCGAGGCTTTGCGTGACGCAGTACCACCCTCGTACCGCCCAGTTTTAAAAAAATACTCTATCACGTAACATAACGATTACCTTCGCAACGTAAATGGATATTAACCTATTACATAAAGTATAATTAGGAAAACGCTTTTAAATGTTGAAAAAACAATCGGAAACCATCAGCGGATACGTTTTTGTTTTATGTTTACCAACATGACAGGAACGCACAAACAAACCGGATTCAGGGTATATTCAATATAGCACTACTAAATTTTAGCAAATGGAGAACTTTGTACACTAGTGTCTCTTTCAGTTTTAGTGAGAACTGACTTCAATATCACTTGTTTGTTACACTTGTGGAACTAAAGTGGATGCACTTGCAACAAATAATGCGTGAAACAATTGCATATGTAGTTGACAGAGCAAGGCTGCGCGTGCGACTGAAGCCACGTCCCGATATTCACCACCGTTGCACCACTACGCATTGTCGAGAAATCACCGTGGAAACCTGCGTTTGCGCAACCCATTATAATCTAGAAGATACTAATTCTGACCGCCATTCTCATTGCCCACTGGTGTTAAGATGAAAAACAAAACAATGGCAATTAAGTAATTGTGCCGTAAAATTTAGATTTCGTAGGTCCTACTAATGGACCACGAGCCAAATCATCAAAACCTCAAACATTAATTGCGATTTCTATTCTGATAGTGGACAACCGAAGCAAAAGAAAACCACACAAATTTAAATGCAATATAAGAGTATCATTCATCGAAGAACATAAATTCATGAAAGTTTTTATGGAATGAAGAAACCTGTAAAATATTATTAAATCACCATGTGTACATTGAAGTTTCACGCTATTAAAAATAAATTTAAAATATCAATACATGCTATCTCAACTCTCAGCTTGGATTAGCCTCTAAAATACAAGCGTACAGTCGAAAAGAAGAGGATATTCACAGATTAAGTACTATCTACACATTACAGAACGAAGTTCAAGAATCGACATCAATAACGCACTAAAGTGCGGTTCCTTCGAGCTCATTGCACGCCAATCGTAAACAATTCCCGCGAGTATGACCTAGTTCTCATCGCGAGAAAGAAGTGTCCATTATACCAAGAAATATGACAACTGAATTGAATCAAGGGTGCAAGATAACTTTAATAGAGTATCCTATCCATAAAATAACCCAGACTTAATCCGTTTTCGAAGTAAATATATATACATTAAGCAGTGTCGGATACTGTAATAAATACTAAGAGAAACCGAATTCATTAAAGTAATATAGCTATGAACAGATGCAACCCTTATTGCAGTCGCGTGGTGTATTATAAGTTCTTATACAAAACAGTTTTATAAACATTACTCTCATTAAATCTTGCACCACCTGTTCGTACGTACGTGATCTGTCGAAAGCGATCGTGCGTAAACTGTGCGGAATTGCGTACGAAAGGTGTCAGAGATTAGGTTTGATTTTGCGGAAATATTATTAGACGTAAAGTTTCCATGGCGTGTTAACTCATGAAATGCTATGATTACTTAAGGTTACTTAAAATGTAACAACGTTCATAGTTGCTAGTGAAAACAAAACGAATGCTTAAACGGCTCTCTGATATTTCCTAATGAATTTCTTTTAATGACTGGGATAGGGACTATTTTGAGCTGTGTTATGTAACTTTACAATGTGCTTATTTCAAAATGTGTCCAGTGTGTCTCTTGTGTATTGAAATTGTGGCCCGTTCAATTTGTAGTCATATGAAACTAATATCTATAAATCCTTATTACTAAGGGCGATCTCTTCTACCTTTGAAACAGGGGAAAACTAAACTGATAGGGCGACGTAGTGTGCCAATGGTAAAAAATTAAATACATAAATAAACCTACCTACAATTGTATGTGTCTGTGTGCCTGTGTGTGTGTGTGTGTGTGTGTGTGTGTGTGTGTGTGTGTGTGTGT